CTCGTTGTTACATGAACTGTTTGTGGAAGAGGCACTGTGGAGTGATTCCAGTTCTTTGATCAACCATGCACGATTTGCATCGTTACAAAGGGCCACTGAAATTACCATTTTTATAAGCAATCCAAGTATCGAAGCACCAAGCTTGCCAGTCATGCATTTTTGCGCTAAACTTGAAACAGTCAGGCTGTTAACAGTATGAATGGTTGTTGTTGCATTACAGTTTACCTATGTGCACTCATAGTGGCAGTGTTTTGATCTATTTTGCATGCATGGGGAAAATGCTCCAGCTGAGACGATAGCGTTGCATCACCGGGCCACGTGAAATCAGACTCCAGCGTGCATGATTACCGTAAATTTTGCACGAAGGGAAATGATTGATTCCCGTTGATCGGTCGTTCATCGAAAAATGCAAATTCGACAATGAGCAGAATGTTGAAGAAAAGGATGAAGAAATGCGCGAAATGCGCTTGTTTTTTGAGTTGCGATAAAATTTTGAGTATTTTTCATGGCTGTGTGGAAGGAATTTAGCTTCTAATCTCAGTTTTAAAGCTTTCAAATTCACAGAAGAAAAAAAAATTTTTTTTTCACTTCAGTTATTTTACATGCTTTCATATCCAACAGCTAATCACTACAATGTTTACTTCGACAGTGAGAGGAGTGACAAGGACAAAGTGAACGACAGATTCCTAATTTATAAACATATTTGATATTCATATCTATTTTGACCACTGTTAGCCCATTTACAAGAAATCATTGAAAGAAAAAGCTATAAACAGCCCTGCTTGTTAGCACTCGTTGCACGGGGAACACTTCCAACTGTCCGTGCCTCTCATAAAGATTAAATACGAGGTGATTTTTGATTTATTATGCATAGAAAGCGGCATTTTTCATTTCTACGCATTTCCACTTTTTTCGATTTACAGAAATTCTGCATAAATATGGTCTATGCTGAGATGAAAAAGGCGTATGACAAGTGTTAATAAACTGCGCCACTGATCATCAGAGAAATACTGGAATTTCGCTTTAATGTGAGCGATATTGTCAAGACAGTGTTGCCAGAAAAACGCTAAGTTCTTCATGCGGCAAGGAGAGGCAACAGATCGGCGAAACTGATCATGAACCGTAAATAAGCAATGTTAAATCAGTACTGGGAAGGCCAGGTTTAAGAGGGAATTTACTTCAATGTCCGTATGAAAACGGGAGGATATGACATGCGCAAAAAACCGAATGGGGAAAGTTCCCAGCTGATCCGATGGCGAGATGGAATACACCGCCGAGAAAGCAACTGGAAGAGGGGTCAAAATGAAGCAACGAAGAAGGGAGAGGCTCGTGCTCACTTCTACGGCACAAAGTAAAGCTTTCATAAAAAAAAAGCACAATTTCAAGACGGCAAACTTTTAAAAATGTGGATATTTTGAAAGTGGAGCATCGGATGAACGAATACTCACAGACGTTGCGTTGCAATCCACACCTCATCTTCCCGCAAATGGCTTCCAGCTTCTCGAATAACTCATCCTGTAATTGGCACACTTCCAAAACAGTAAGCCAAATGACCGGGAGACAAGAAGCTTACCTTGTAGGGGTAGCAGATGCGACCAGTAACGGCCGAGTAGAGTGTATTGCAGTGGCAGCACATATTACCCGACAAGTGATAGCAGTCGTCGTGCATCCAGTGCTGAACCCCATACTCATTGCACACCCTCAACTCACCCTGCAATTCCAATACATTGGCAGTGCACGTGGCAGAGTAGCTATGAAATTCTCTCAGATCAACACCAAATGCAATCTGCCCTTGGGCATACCGAGGCCATACTGCGGATAATGTTGATTTGAAAGGGTTTCAGCAGTGAAATAAACAGGTTACAGGCAAAATTTTGTCAATTTTATCAGACTAATCAACAGACTAACTTTTCCAAAGATTCCAAAACTTGAAACGTCAAATGCCTGAGCAGAGCACGGAATGAAAAAAAAAAGCAGTGTTACAGGAAAAAAACATTAAACGTCGCTTTGAAGCAAGATCGACAGAGCTAAATCGTAAGCAGGAAGAGGAGGGTGGACGGAACGAAGAGGCGAACGACGAGGGAGAGCGGACGAGTTATTTGTACTGTTATGAGAGTTACATAAAAAAATTTTGCTGACTTAAAACTGAAAATTAATAAGACATGTGTTGCACAAAGCGAGGTATCCAAGAGCGCGCGGATACGGCAAGGATGTTCGTGAACGTCGACGCCCCATGATAATGCTTGATTTATGCATTAAAACTCTGTATATAAATGGGTGTGATTAGGAATTAGTTCTTTGTTTATTGTTTTTTTTTTACGCTGCCCGGTTGGCTCATCGGAGCCATTAAATTTTAATTATGTTCGCCACTTCCTCAGCTTCATCAGGGCGCGGCTCGCCAGGGCTAGGCGAGGCTCGCCCAACACATATACACTACGCGGTATGAGAAACCAAAGAATTACCAAGGTAACGGATAAGACACAAAAAACGATCACTAAACCACATCAAAATTCAGTTCTCATAAAGTACTGGAAAAATTGGAATGCTACTAAAATGCTAACGAAAAAAATCAAATTGACAGCTTCATAAAGTTTACAGATAAGTAATTCTCAATATATAACAACACTTCACTTTTCCCATTGAGCAATCTCATTTCAACGACACCTCAAAATGAGGAAGAGCGTAGCAGTACGTGAAACTCTCAGCTTATCACTTCATCTTTTCTTAATTTGTTTGGTATCTACAGTAAAGCTCTACTGGATGATCTGCGTTGGTGCGTGTGTATCGCGTTCTTTCAAGGTTAGCTAGAGTAAATAATCATGAAATTCAAAAAAAAAAAATCTTACCTCTGTGCAGAATGCCTGACAAATAAGACATAATCGGTGTTGGTGCAGCATTTCGGAATGAATCTGCAAAACTAATTTGCATCCCACACTTCAAATATT